GCTGATGCAAACAGTGATATGCACAGAACTGATCTTCACAATGCCTTCTAGAAGCAATGCCTTCTATAGCTTGCAAAAGACACTGAGATTGACATGATCTTGGCTCCTTAATTACATCAGAGAGGGGATTTTCTACTCCTAATGCTTACGTGCGTGTCAATATCAAGACAGATTGCAATATGCATATTACTATGCCAAAAAATCACTTTAAAATTATTCAATGTAATCTGTTAATAATTGAATAACTTCTGGTAAAGAATTATTAAAAACAGCATGAATTCTTCACTCTGAAAAAAGAAATGATAAAACCCAAAATGTATAATGTCCCAAGATCTAGGCAACCTCACACTGAGAAATAATTTATCTTCTGCATTCTGAATTTCTTAAAATGCTTATATTTTGACGAATAGTGGCTTGCTTTCTAAATCATGTTCCTTTCATCCACAATGTTTATTTTGTTTTCCTTTAGAGAACCTCTGTTTTTAATCTACCCAGCTGTAGGGTTCTCCTTTCCTAGCAAAAATTATACCCTGGTATTTAACATACACATTAAAACTGATGTGCATCAGTTTTCCAGAGAGGATTCGCTAACTGGAGATATATTTGCTACAGGGGTAGGAAAAAGCAGGAGGAGGAGAGTGCAGAAATAAAAGAGTTGCTATGCCAACCTCCAAATGCTAATGGCATGACAAATACAAAAGGTCACAGTAAAAAGAAAAGAAGAAAAAAACAGACAGAAGGAAAGAAAAGCCCAGATCAAAAAAGTGCGTGAATTTTATTTAATAAAAAAATGCAGCTACTGTGACTAAATTCCTTCAAAATAATGCAGTTTAAAAAAAAAAAATGCACCACAGTATCACACTAAAACTCAGGTTGTCTTTGTCTGTCTTTTGATTTAGCTCTTAAATGCCTTATTCTTTATTGTCCATATCATAACAATGGTCTTTCAAGAAAAAGTTCCACAGGAATGCTGAATGGATTTGCCTGCAAGGAGATCACCTGACAATTAGGGGCAATATATCAACACAGAGTAACAAACAAGTACAATAAAGAAAACAATTAAAAAGTGGACTTTTTTTTTTTTAGGAGTAGTTCTACGTTAATTACATCATGCAACAGAAAATATTTTTGTCTTTTTGAGATATAATTTTGTAACAAACTCAAACTCCTATTTACTACCTAAAATGGTAAAATGACAAGTTATGCATTTCTAAGAAATATTCAGTAGGACTTTCAGTTGATTTTGAAATATTTGAGTCTGCCTGATATTAAAAAGAAATTTTAAAAATCCCAAGTGTTCTGAAAGTTCTTTCTGTAGTTTTCTAAGGTTTCTTATGGCAGGTACTAGTAATTACTATACTTTTACATATAAGAGGAGATGCATGCAGTCCAGTCTTTCACATGAAACTCCTGCAAGAGACCATTCATGACATTACTCAAACCCACCCAAAATACAGCATGGGTTCTTTGTCACTGGAAATACAGTTCCAATCTGGTTGAAATATCAACCATTTTAAATTATTGTTTTCTTTGTCTTTGTAGTACTCCAAAGGACAGTACTAACAGCATGCCAATGACTTCTCCTGGGCCAAACTCATGTCTTCACCAGGGCAAAGCCAACAGTACTGGGATGTACATGGACTACCTGTGGACATCAGAGCATTCTCAGAAGGCCCATGTGAGAAGAGAGGTGGGCTGGGCCACAGCATACACTGAAAGATTCAAATACAGACAGCATCCTGACCTACTTATCAACAACTTTGAGTGGGTAACAGGCAGAATACAGAAAACACAGAATTTTACAGTATAATCTGAGTTTTCTAGCACAGAATTGCAGATCTAAGATAAAGTTTTACATAAGCTTTGGATAAGCATTCAAAGAGAAATTAGTTGCTCAACCTTTTGAAGTTCAGCCATTGCTAATTAAAGAACTGCCAAGACTTTACTAACAATTAAAAACTTGTCTTTAAAATCCCCAAAGAGGAAAATGCAAACAGCTGTTTTAATTAGCAAAACAGCAGATACTAATTAGCTTCTGTTACAGAGTATGCTGGTTCTTTAAGGACAGGACCAGTTTCAGCCCAGCTTTGTTACCCATTTAAACTACAAGAGGAAGGACTGGAATTAGATGCTGCAGAAAAAGCTTCCAATTCCTTGTGAAAGCAATATTCCCCAACTTCAATTACAAAAACTAGATTTTTATTTCAAGTAAGTTTTTATGCTCATTTGTTTTCTCTTTTCTGATCTTTCTGGAAACTGAGATGCGTACAGGCATTTGAGCAGGGACTAAGGCCTATTTGAAAAGTCTTATGATGACCCCACGGGGGTGATAACTAGTATCTTCATGTTCTGGGAAAATGGCCATTGTGTCTGGACAGAGTAACACATGCACATCTGCACAGCAAACCCACGGAGTTCAGACTGCACTAAGCCTGCTATGAAAGCACTGTTCAGTTGGGCAGCTGATGTGCTCTACTGGAGCAACTCTACATCGTTTCATTTTCCCAACCTGCTGTGGCCAGTTCTAATGAACTACGAAACACTAAGATGAAGGAGCAGGAGAGCAAGAGAACGGAAAAGGCCGGAATTACCACTTTTGATGTGTTCAGAACACAGATCCCTTAATCAGCAGATGTGATCTGACAAGCTAATCAATATGCATACTGGCATTTACATCCGTTTTGAGGTTAAAAAAATGTAAGCCGCGTCCCATAAAAACTATGCTTGTCTACAGCAAGTCATTTTGGTATTAGTGGGGTCAGTCGTCATGAACATATCGATAATAAACAGGCTACTGCTGCACAAAGAAGATACCACATAAATGCCAAGAGTGAAATGTAATGCAAGAGTTTAAAAGTCAAATCATTCGCACTATTGACACAGAGTGAAAGAATAACTGAAAATATAGGGATGAAATTATGACCCCAAAAATAAATCCAAAGCTATTATATCAAGTAGTTTTGAGAGCTATCTATACATGTTTGAAACTACCAGGCAGTGGTCAGATATTTCTTCCAGAAGATACTTGTTCTTCAGGAATTGTGATTGGAAAACCTAGAACTGCTGTGCTAGTATTTCAACACTGTAGGACAGAGCAGGTCAATAACTGTAACCAGAGGATGACAACTGCTGTGCTTATACCATTCCGTGTGCTCTGTACATCCTACATTGAATGAAGATAGCTATGAAGAGCAGGCAGCGAATAAACAAGACCCTTCAAAAATCAATTTGGAATTGAATTCCAAAACCATTTATTCATAAGCATAAGGACTACGACAGTAAAACACTTCCATAAAATACGGCCATATCTATCACTATAGTCCTAGACGAGCAAGATTGTTCATCTTCTTTCTATGAAAGGTCAACCAGTATCACAGGATTCGGCTAACAACAAATAAAACTAACTACCCAGGAATCTGTATTTCTATTGGTGTTCATGCTTTTCATTACATATTTTAACATCTCAGCTGTGCCTGCTAAACGGCTTCTGAATAATTTTTTGTCTTTATGTTTCAGCATCTGTTTTTCAGAACTGTACAAGAACATCATATTCCTTTTCCCTTTGAGATGACTTCTTTGAAGTGGTAAAGAAAAAAAAAAAAGTCAGTAAGCACTGTGCTATATGAGGATCTTTAGGGTAAAATACTGACTTCATAGAAGTTAGGTGAATAAGACCAGGATACAACCTCAACGGCATGCACAGACTGCTATTGGTGTTATGGCTTTCTCTTCAAATTAATATTCCTTTGTCCACTGATTAAACTGTTAGAGAGAAATATTTTATTTTTTTTTTCAGCATGATGAGAGAGTATGTCACAGCAGAACTATAGTTCCTATAAATTAACTTGTTCTGCGTATTAAGGTATATAACGTGTATTCAGATTCAGGATTCGTTAACTATTTTTCTACTGACAACATATACAAAGCTCAAATGTTTTCTCTGTTGCTGTGGGGTTTTTTTCACAGCTTAAAATGCAAATAAGACTTTTGGTTGAAACACTCCTGTTTTTCCAGTGAATGGAAGATGTGGCACTGTTCAAGCATTGTTCCTCTTGGGCCCCACCCTGCTCATGCAGAGGGTTCAAATGGGTTCAGTGAAATAATAAAGACATATCTAGAGGGCAATCTTTGAAAGTGCTTTTTAATGATATTTTAGTTGCTGAGGTGACCAGGCTTAATTTGCCTCAGGACAGACTAGGATCTTGTCCTTTACTAGTGTAAACACTATGTGTTCTCATATCACAGTAACAACTCTATGAGTTTTTAATTCTATATGAAACTATATTGATTAAAGCCATTCACTTTTTTATTCTCCAAGTAGAATACTACCTGTTCAAAACTCCACAATAAATTAAAGCTGCTTAAATGGTATTATATTGAAAGTCTCATTATCAAGAACAAAGATTACTATTTGTTTACAACAAAATTAATCGCCACTGAGAAGCATCTAACAATTCCAAATCCACTTCAGTTCTTGGAACTTGGACCTTAACTCCCAGAGAAGTTAAAATAAAGGAGATACATAAAATTATATCCCTTTCAGATAAGTCAATATTTCAACTGGGGAAAAAAAAATTAACAGATAAGTGAGATATAGAAATGTTGACTGAACACCCAATAAAATATTATAAATCATCACTACAAGGTTATAGTAAGAGATCATTGAGTTACACCTCATTAAATAAAACCATGAATAAGACCTAAAGCTGAGGTCCCTCCAAGTCCTATTTTGGATTCTAGGACTTCCACATTGCCTGTGTGTAAGCTCTTCTAAACTGCACGTCAAGATGATTTTACTTAAGTAAACGTGTACTGCTTGTACACATAGCTCCAGCAACTGCTACTTCCATATGCCAGTAGCATGCCTAACTCAATAGCTTCCACAGTAAAGTCTGCAACTACTGCAAACTTCTCCTGTTGTGCACTGGTTTACATTCCTCACAGACAAAATGTAACCTATGAAACAAAACCCCAGTGTTAATAGAAGAAATCTTACTTACGAGTACTTTGTCAGCAGATCCAAATCATTATGCATGTTGATTGGATATGTCTCACTGAGATGAAACAGCTTCTCTAAGGCCTCATAAATGAAAATGATGCAGATAAGAGAAGCAAAAGCTTCTTCAGTAAACCGAGTAATGTAGCAGACTAGGGAGCTTGCATCAGTTGCAACAAGGATGATGCACAGGATTGCAGTCCACAGACCAATGCTAGCTCTCAGAGAAAGGTACGATAACCCATACTCTCTAAACAAAAGGAAAAAAAAATAAACACAGTTTATCTTTGTCCAACCACAGTAAATGGAGAAGAGGCAGGTCCAAAATTTCCTTTGCCCAGTGAAATGTGATTCTGGGGGCAGTCTGAATTAGAAATTACTTACCTATTGTGAACTGAAAGTACTCTCAAGTCATCTTTTGACCTAAGCTCTCATCCCAATTAACAAGATATGAAGAGCATTATGTCTACTGAAGTGAGTGAGCAGTTTTCAGAGTAGTGACATACATTAAACGTATAAGGTCTATGCACTTTTAATCCCATATCCTCCCTTGTGAAAAGCCAACATCTGCCAACTTCTTAAGCTGCAAAAGTAGCTACAGCTTGCATCAAAATCCTGTATGCTTATTGCATGTAGTGCTCCAAACATGTTGGGTGACATTATCACAGAGGATAAAAGTGGTTTTGGGGTGCTAAGCATGGTCTACTACTCAGTGTTGCTCAGGAGGTTCAGGTGACCTTGGCGCAGAAGTACCAGTCACAGCAATGAGGCAGAAAAGCAAACAGGATTGCAGAGAAGCATGATGATTGCCAAGACCCAAACATAATTTTTACCCACAGTGTGGCAGATGCATATAATGTATAGCACATTAACATAAATGGGGGGATATGCTGTTCTGCCATGGCACTTCACACCTTCTCTTTTCAGGTGAAGGAAAGGCAGGGCCTACACTAGTGGCTACTGAAAGATGGCACACCACTGCCACTGCACTTCCTGGGTGAGAGGTAACACCTTTCGTATGAGTTAGGGATGGGACAAACCAGAGATTCCAATGTATTGTTTCAGAGTACAAAATGATCCAGTACAAAAAAGCAAGCCCAAACAAAACAATTTCCTGAGGCTTGCATTCCCTTCAAAACAGTTGGGTTTTTTCTGGAAAACAAACAAACAACAGCAATTAAAAAAAAATAAAATAATCAACCTTTCTGTATTATGACCAATTCACTTATCTCAGTTATTGCATAATTTTCAAGCTCTGAAAGCCTCAGCAGTTCACTCCAAACTAGTTATCTTGTTCTGCAGACGCTGGGACCTTGGGATCACTGTCTCTACTTTACCTAGCAACACCCAAGGGATGATGCATATCATGGTCTTCACTTACTTGCAAAATTTGAATAAGATCTTCTCAAACACCAAAACTGGTCCTGTGCTGCCAAGTATAGTGAGCGGCTGTCCACCAAAGAGAGAATAGGCAATTCCAGTCATGGATGCTCCAAACAGCGATTCTATTGCACTCTGAATATGACACAGAAAGAAGTGTCCATAAATTTCCAAACAGGTTCTTTATTCAATGTCTTAGTCTGTAGCCTTCTAAACATTGAAACATTGATATTTAAAGGTCATTCATGCAACAGTAAGAAAATACTAACCACAAACCTAGGAACCTAAGTTTGTTTTAAAAGTTCAGATTTAACACATACTATACGACCTTCAGTTGCTTCTCCCAGCAGACCACCAAATGTGATGACAGGAGACATGCAAGCACAGTAGAGAAACAAAAACGATGCTAGACATTGCAGACTGAGAGCATCCCTGAAGTCACTCCAGAAGAAGGGAGCTTTTCTTTTTATATCTAAAATCAATCCTCCAAAAAATCTAAAGAAAACAGAAGAGATCAAATTAGTGAAAAAGGTATACCAAACCTTCTTCCACAGTATTGCTTTAAATACACTACAGAGAAGCTAGATCAAATGATGTATACTCTCGTAATTCATCCTTCCTACAAGAAAGTCTCTGGAACTCTGTCTTGATTACTTTAATCAGGAAACTGTGTTTTTAAAACAGACTAATCTACATGTTTCTTTCATAAAATCTTCATCTAATCATCCAGGCCCAAAACTTCTGAACAACTGTCAGCTCCCATGCATAAAACCCTACTATTTATTATGTGAAATAATTCTCTGCATTGGTTTAATCAGAGAGCTACCATAGTGCCCATTTGCCCACACGTCTACATATAGAGCTTCACATTCTTTATTTGAGAACTGGTTCCTACATACACTTGATGACAGAACTGAATGTAGGCCACAGTCTTCCAAGGACAAGAACTGTCATCTTTTGTCATTTACACTATGCTAATATATAATCAAATATTTAAGAACAGATGCTCCCTTACAATATACCATACAGTTCAAGTAAATAGCCTCACAATGCTCTTTTTTCTCACAGGCACCCAGTGTATCAGATGTTGCTGGGGTAAAAAAGGAAGACAAAGTGTCACCATTTCCTAAATATCAGAATGATCCTTTCAAGACGTCAATTACCAGGCTCACTGGTAAAACCAGTCAGCTTACAGCTAGACTGGCCATCATCACCTCTGCACCACTGTGTACATCAACACTTCAGCTGACTCTTTAGCCTTATGCAGGTAGGAGTGATATTTAAATATCAAGAGGCAGCAAGGTAAAAGAAAAGTCTATTGCACAACTACACTGCGCTACGGCAACCACTGACAGCTGATGCACTTACACCACACCACATCAGACGAGAGAAATAAGTATTCCCCAGGGTAAATTCTTCTTTCCTATGTCTGTATTGCCGCTATTGTGGTACTCATAGCCTCATGTAATAGGACATATCATGCTTTACTGGGGTGAAAAATGAAAATGCTAGAGCTGCACAACACAGAAGCTGCAACTAAAAATAGTTATAAGCCTTCTTCACGGCACAAGACTATTCCAAACTTTTCCTTTGTGCTGTACAAAATTAAGAAATGCTAATCAATTTTGACAGAGGTCTGACCTTCATAAATACTAGAAAAAGGAGCTTGCAATAAATACAGTGTGAAAAATGAAATCCTCTCGCCCTCTTCCCCTCTCTGCAAATTAATATGTACTGTCTTTTTCAACTATGTGGTACACAAAACAGGAAAAATGTTTGAAAAAAAGAAATCACATGCCAATCCTGACATTTGAGAGAGAACCAGAACATTATGATTTCTTCAGAAATGCATCACTTTGGGCAGTTAAGATTTGGCATATGTTTTCACTAACTTTCCAGTGCGTTGCAGTTCTGGTCCAGAGTGTCCTCCAGGTTGTTCTGCTTCCCCATGGGCTGCAGTTCCATTTGGCACTCCTGGGATCTTACGCTTCTCCTACCAGAATGGAAAGACACTTCTCATGGGTCTTAACAACCAAGACATAATTTTAGCAGAGGAAACAGGCCTTGAGAGTTGAAAGATTACGCATATACATTTTATTGTAAGACTCATCAAACATAACCTCTTCATATATTCTATAACAAGAAACAGTATAGTAGGAAATGTGGTCTAAGAAATTTAAAACCACAGAAAATCTTGTACCAGGAAATGTTTTAAAGAGTAGCAAGCCAGGCTGTTTTGATCAATTCTTGCAATAAGCTTAGAACAAAAGCAAACCATAACTGTTTGGAACAATCAAAGATGCTGATGACAAATTATGTCTGAATTTAAGCTCTTTAGATACAACTGTCTTTATTCAGAAGAGAACTAGTACTGAACTACACAAAATGCCATCACTATGCTCTACTCTGTGCTTGCAAGACAAAGCACACAATGTCTATATAGTGACTCTGCTAAATCCTAAATTAATGAAACTTAATTTTACCTAGCAAAAATTCCTCACATCATGTTAAAGTATCTGAATTTTACAGTGTACAAACCTGAGAGGGAACATTTTTAGGTGGTTCTATTCGAATGGATGGGTCCCACTCTCCAGGAGGGAGAACAGTAACCTGATCAAGAAACTCATCAATTCCAGACACCAAGTCATTGCGGTCTTTTGCTTTGTAAGCAACATCATGGAACACCTGTGAACAATGGAGAAGCACACGTGAGAGGAAAAAGAGATGGGGAAAGGAATGCCCTTGTAACATTTTTCGCGACGACCCCTCTTCTCTGAAATAGAATGTACTTCATGCAGTTCTCACCGAAAATAAAAACTTGGCTTCAACTGACTACGGTTTCTGGTACTCAGCTTTCACAGAAGCTCCAGCTGCTACGGAAAAACATCCTTACGGGTGCTAAATGTTCTAGAGATTTTACAGTTTAGGATTCAATTAATTCCACTGGAAAGTAGCTGTATAAATGGAATCTTCTCCATGAAGTTATCTTTGCATGTGAATATTTCTTCTCCTTTTTTTGTCTCCTCATGGCAGTATAAGCTGGGCTGTTACAAGATCATGAAATGAAATAGAATGCTATTTGTGCATCATCAGAATGATGAGCCAGATTTTACCTGGATGATTCCACTTTGGAGACTCCCTACTATACCTCTTCAGTCAGTAGAAAATTACTAAAACCAAGTCATAAATAAAAATACCTCATCTGTCATTAGTGTTGCAATTGATCTTCCAATCTCATGGTATTGTTGCCCTTTACCCAGCGGTCCAAGAAGGATAAACAAAAATCTGCAAATAAATAATAAATAAAAAAGTTGTAAAAGATAGATGGTTGAAAGTTACCATACTTCCTACAGTAATACTTTATATTTAAAATTGTACTAGAGGAACCTCCAAGACAAATATTATATATAAACTCCTAAAAGATCTTCAGAAATGCTTTTAAACATGAAGTTCTAATATTAAGACAAATATTATATATAATCTCCTAAAAGATCTTCAGAAATGCTTCAAAACATGAAGCTCTAGTTAGAAAATACGTGAAAATAACTTCTAAAAATGTACCATAAGCTTCAGAGTCAGACTTGATTGAGATTATCAAAGCCGCCTTACATAACAATCCTTATATTACATAATAAAAATATGCAATTATAATCTGTACAGAACACATGAACATTAATTTATTTAATTCTGTTCATTCGACAGAATCAACTGTTTTATGGTACTAGTATTATTGCAACAATAATGTTACATTACCCCAAATAAAAATGTTTTTAAATAGATCTTACTGCCTTTAAGGCTCTAGACAGCCTTTACTCCAGGCCTGGGGTGAGTAAGGCTCTATAAAATGCAGAGGGTAAGGTCAAATTTTTTTTTTTAAATAAACATTTTTTTCAGAATGTCTTAATTATCCTAAAATTTAATTATTTCATTTTCTTTTGATTAAAAGTCAAGAAATCTGTTGGAGGATTTTGTGGGTTTATTTTGTGTTGATTTTTTTGTGGGATTTTTGGTTTTTTTTGGTTGGTTGGTTTTGTTTTTTTTTTTTTGTGTTAAGTCCTGCGAGGTTATGAGGAAAGGCTTCAGCTCTGTCCCTCAATGTTTCTTATACATGCGTTCTGGTTTCAGCTGGGATAAAGTTAATTTTCTCCTTGATAAAGCTGAATGTCACATCAACCTGTCTCCATGAGGTACTCAGAAAAACATGAAGATAAATAAATCCAACAGTACCTTGTTGGAATTGGAACTTCAGCCAGTCCCGTAAGCAGCACTGCAGGAGATAACCTAACAAAAGCAACAACAGCACGGTCCAGGAACTCCAGTTCACCAACTAAGATGTTTGATGCTTCAGCTCCAGGTGGTATCTTTTTCATAAAGTGTAGGTCAACCTGGGAAAAGCATATTAAATTACAACCTAAAAGCTATCCACAGGGAGTTTTTCCCCCAACTTCTTGACAGAGAATTTCTAGTCACTGCACTATAATCTCAGTTATTTCAATTACACAGTTTATATTCTTTTCTGTTTAATATTTTTTTTCAAATAAAGAAGTTTCTCAAAAACAAAGAACTCGTCTTTCATTATTTGACTAATTTTTCTTGGAAACATACTTAAAGTACTGTAGAATTAATTTATAAAGACAACAAATCACATTCAAAATCTTGTTAAGAATATGGTGTTAATTGCCTAGTAATATTTTTATCAAAAATTGTAACAGCAGCAATAATTCATAACAGAATCAATAAGTCGTAACCGCAGAAGAAACAAAGACACTTTATTTTTCCATAATTAACAATTCTGGAAATCATGAATTCATAGCTCATAGTTGTTGCATTATGAACTCAATGAAAAGAAGAATAGGTTCCACTACATGTAATTTTCCTTCTACTGCTCCAAGTGAGATGTATTTCTGGTTTCAGACAGTTGCCCTTGTGCTGAAAGTAACAGAAAATAAGCTATGACCATGACTGTCTTGAGAGTAAACTGAAAAAACAAAGGAGAATAAAAACTTCAGAGTTTTAATTCAGTTAGGTTAACTTTTGCAGGGAAAAGACAGAGAAACAGCTTCATTGTGATGTTGCTGTTTAAGTTCAAGGTATTTGCCCAGGAATTTATTCACTCGCCTCTATTTCCTCAATATCAGTCTCGAGTTTACTCTATAAAAAAGATCAATATGCAGTAATAGAGTATATAATGTATGTTTGATTTCATTAAGCACCAGTATTGTCTACATTTCAAAATGCATGAATTTTGTCATTTGCTTTCCTTTTATTAATCTAAACACAACAACAGCAACCAAATCCAATATAAACTGTTAAAGTGGACCATTTTAATGTCTATCTTACAGCCATCTGTCAGTACTAGTTTGCATAGTTTTTGGTAATATTTAGAAAATTGTTTTCTTGCAAATGGCTCTGGCACTAAATCAGAATTCAGATATAACACAGTTGCCTGTGTAATGAAATCTTACTTTGCTGAGATCACAAAGAGGTGTCTAATGCTACCCTAAGCTAATCTAGGATGATGATTAAACACTTCACAAGGTAAGCCCTGAATTGACCTGGAGGGCCAGAAACCCAGTATTTTTTCAAGGTAAAGTGTCAATGAGTTAAATTCTATTTCCCACTCAAACAAAAAGATAACTCTTCGGGGTTCAATACAAAACCCAAACAGACACACTTTGCACCTGATTTTGGTATCATAGGTCACTTCTTGTTGAGAGACAGGAAGTAGTCTTTCAGGCATATAGCAGTATGCATTCTGTACCAATTTTACCATGTGAATGAATTTAACACTTAATAATGTCTCATATACAACATCCTACATTTGTCACCTTGAGGTCCCACTAACATACAGATCACAGCATCAGTATTCAAATCTGAAAGAAACATTCAGTCTCCTACCAGAAAGTATTTGCAGATATGCCTCCTGCACTATTTATCAGCTTGGGATTCCAAAACCTTTTAGGTAGTGAACAGAGTCCCAGTTAAAAGGAAAGTAGCTGGCAGAGAAGCACCAAAGTCAGCAAATATACCCAAACCCTGGGTGTTTCTTCTGCTACATAACAAGAGAGGTGGCCTTGAAGTGAATTTCGGGTAACAGTAGAAGCTACAACCTTCAAATGCTTCATCTAAAACTATCCCAAGATGTCTTTTGGTGCAGAGACCTCACATGCATTTTAATTTGCACCCTAACCTGACCTGTCACTAAATAGTCCAAGAAAGCTCTGACTAAACATAAAATTAAATACTGCATGTGGAAGCCGTTCCCCTCCAGGTCAACTCAAGGACTGAAAAGAGTGGTGAGGGCATGCCCCAAAACCAAATACAAATTGACAGGAAGACAAACAGAAGATACCCAACATCACTTCTTAGGCAAGCCATGACACATTCATCACATTTACTTATAAGCAGGGCCAGCCAATATTCAAAAACAAGTAAATTATTTCACATGGTATTTAAAAGACCAGACTGTCAGTATGGCACTGGGATTTGATTCAGAAATACTGTTTCCATGTGGAGCATAGGAACATTGCCATGAGAAGGCATGCGGGTGTAGTCTCTTTATGCATTTCTCATTTCAGGACAACTAAGGTTCCCTTCAGGCTCCGGGATAAGCAGCAGAGACCAGACAGATGCAGTTGTGAAGCTGCCATCCCCGTCCTGTTCAGACACAGGATAGAGTGCTGCTGTGATACATCCATAGCACCCCACGAATACAAAGTCCCCATGGTGTCCCCAGAGGAAGAGTGACTTATTTCCCAGTACAAACATCAGAAACTATGTCTCCCTCTCTGTGCTACTGAAGCTTTCAGGGCTATGTCTCACGTTATTTATAAACAGACACCAATACAATCAACACAGTCTCTGTGCTGTATTCAGATCAAGTCAGTATTTTGAACCAGCTCCAAAGTTTCAAATATTAGAAGTAGCCCAAGGGAAAAAGATTAGCAAGGAGAGAGTATGAGGGGTAGTCAAAGGTGTTTTTTTTGTAGAAGATAAATGAAATTAATATATGGAACAAAATTAGAGCAAGAAACCACAATACTCAAGAGAAAATTAGCATACTGCTCTACTTTCCTTTCAGTCTGTGCATGTAATTCCAATTATAACTGTTGGGATTTATTGCAGTAGCACAATTCAAGAGGAAATTGTACTTATGCACCTTCAAAGAAATAAATGGATCTATTTAAAGGCAGTCAAGAAAGATATTTAGATTACAGTCCTTTACTTTTATTTCATTCCTGCAAACCGATGTCGCTCCTTTCATATTCCTGACATCATTGTTAGTATCTACCAGTGCTAAGGCTAGCCAAAAGATGACATGTTGATCTCTTCTCAAGACAGTTTAAATAGGAAGAGCTCCTTTGATCAGTAAAGCTGCAGCACTACAAAAATAGCAAGCGAAGGATCAAAAAGTGCAGACTCTATTATTGTTTAATACAAACATCATGCACCTACATAACAGACTGGGATTTTGACCCTTTGACACTCAAAACAACTGGGGAATCATGCAAGTAAAGCACTATTGAAAGTCATTTCATTCCCTTTGGATTGTTATGAGCTTCACCTCTGCACAGCTTAATTTTGAATAGACAGTTTTATTTATATTTTATATCCTTGACAAAATTTTACATCTTGATATTAGAACACTTGCCAGAACAACTAGTTTTAGTTAAGTTTTAATACAAATGCCAGGAAATCAAAATCTTACTTGACTTTTTAAAGCATTATAATCTTACTTTTAAATATTTTTAAGCATTAGCATTAAATTTTTAACAACTTGTCATTGCTTATAGATCTCATACCACCTCTTTAGAAATGTTGCACATAATATATCCCCAGCTAGCCTCCTTTTTTCTTGCTGTCTTTGACAAAATGATCTGTCTTGCATCTTTATTTCAGCCATATACCATTCCTAGTCTGGCATGTTCAGTCAAGAATTCAAACTGTGCAAGTAGTTATTGCTGCTAGGAAATAGGTCTGGCACAAGATGGAGCAATCACATAACTCTACTTTTAGCTCAGTTGCACTTACGTTAAGATTCAACAGACTCAAGTGCCGTTCTTCAGTATTTTGGGTTAAATCACCTTTCTTCACTTACTCAACCTTTGTTGTATTAATTTGTCATCCGAAGTCATGTATCCCTGTCAGGTCTGTCATCTGTATGTAATGTGACAGTTTGGTTTAGGTACTTAGAGATTTCTTAAACAAATTAGGATTCTCCTTTACATTAAAGCTGAGAAGCTGTTTGCTTTTCTTTGCTAACTAACATTGAACTGTCATTGCAGTCTTCACTACTGAACAGCTAACATCTTTTGTGAAGTGTACTGAAATGTCTTGGCTTGCCAGAAGAATTAAGTTATAGGTTTACAGAAACATATTCTGTTTGAGACATCTGGATTCACGAGTTCAGGTTATAAAAAGCGTAGTTTGCATTCATTAATTACTTCCACAAAAAGTAAAAATCTGAGAGGTGAATCTGAATTATAAGAAATTCTGAATTATTTTCCTACTTAATCAGTTTTTTGTTAATTTTTAGGAATTCCTCCTATGAATACACACCTATGATATTGTCACGCAATAAATTTATCTATGTTCCTAACCTGTGATTTCCTGTTACCAACAATTTAACAAGAAAATGAAAAATCCTTTTTTGTTATATACGAGCTTTGTTGCAGCGCACATGAAATTTTAATGCAAAAGTAAACTTTGCACTTGACAGATTTTTGTGATTCTCTTAGATTAATTTTATTTCATTTAAAAGATCTGTTTTGTAGTTGGGAAGCTCTCTTCACCGTCAGTGAACACTTACCTTGCTAAAGTCAACAGTGCTGTTTTCTCTGCTCACATCATTTTTGTTTTCAATACAGGCTGGAGCAGACTGTGGGGAAACAATCTGACCTGCTAAAAAAAAGTATCGTCATTACAGAATACTAACAATTACTTCTATAAATAAAGCTACATCTAATGAAATAGTTATTGAAGAACTATATTGTATATATTGAAATGGATGAAGCTGCATCAAGGGAAGTTCAGGCTGGACTTTAGGAAAAGGTTCTTCACTGAGAGGGTGGTCGGTCACTGCAACAGACTCCTGAGGGAAGTGGTCATTGGCACCAAGACTGTCAGAGTTCAAGGAGCATCTGGATGACACTCTTAGTCACATGGTTTAATTTTAGGCAGCCCTGCAAAGAGCAGGGAGTTGGACTCAATGATCCTTATGGATCCTTCCAACTTGAGATATTCTATGATGTTATATACATCTTATATCTTATGCATATGAAGCATCTAAACATGGCATTTTAATTAGAGACTTATTTGGAATAGCACATTCTTAGAAGACAGAACATTTATCACGTGCAGTTAGGAATGGGAAAACATAATTTAGAAAATGTAAAAGACACTCCTGAGTATGGGAAGAAAAACTTTCTATGCCAATTAAAGCTTGCGGTTTTTAAAATACTACATTTGAGGAAAGTCCTATACTCATATAGTTTTTGTAAGTGATTTGAGGAGCTGCCAATTTTGGGCAGTACCTGTCTACAAGAGCTTTCTGGGCCTCTCAGTTCAAGAAGGACAAAGAACTTTTGGAGAGGGTGCAGCACAGGGGTACTAAGATGATCAAGGGCCTGGCACACCTGTCATATGAGGAAAGGCTCAGGGGGCTGGGGATGTTTAGCTTGGAGAAGAGGGGGCTGAGGGGGGATCTTATGAATGCTTATAAATATCTAAAGGGTGGGTGTCAGGAAGATGGGGCCAGGCTCTTCTCAGTGGTGTCTGGTGACGGGACTAGGGGCAATGGCCACAAGCTGGTGAACAAGAGGTTCAACCTGAAGATAAGGCAGAACTTCTTTACAATGAGAGTGACAGAGCACTGGAAGGGGCTGCTCAGGGGGGTGGTGGAGTCGCCGTCTCTGGAGACTTTCAAGGCCTGCCTGGATGTGTTCCTGGGTGAGGTACCCTAGGTGATCCTGCTCTGGCAGGGAGGTTCGACTAGATGATCTTTTGAGGTCCTTTCCAACCCCTAACATTCTGTGAATCTGTGAATACTCCTCACTGAATAAAAGAGGATTACTAATTTTCATAAATTTACTCATGTGTTTAAGAAAATCCTAATTATAACAACTACAAAACTCATCATAGAAGTGAGCTACTATCAAAAAAGATGTATTGGACATTCAGAGGACTTAAAAACTCAATAATAAACAATGTAATTATTGACATAAGTAAAACAAATGTTTCAGCAAACGTATTTTCAGAAATTCCAGTGAGGATTTATTAAAGTGTTTTATAGAAGATTTGAAAGCTTATCTCAAGATGAAAAGAAGTGATTAAACACACCTCAGTCTTGTGTAAGCTAACAGTAAGCATTGTGACCCAACAAAATTTTGCCAACAAAAGCTCAAAACCAGTATTAAGTAACGAGTATATGTCACATAAAGCATATTTTTACTTAATGACAACATTGTTCCTGTGCAGGGCCAGAAGCTACCATGCATTCACTGAGGGTGTGGGGCTGGCAGTAAGGCAGCACACAAACCCCCGGAGGGCGATGGGCCACTCCCTCCTTGCTCTTCCTCCCTCCCTGGCATGGCAAGAGACAGGCACACCTCCGAACACCACAAGAAAGAACAGGAAAAAGTACCAAATATATGAGCCAACTGTCTCTTACTGCCCTAGCACATACCCAGGAATAACTACAGAGTCCAACTGGCCCAGAGTCAGCATCTCGTGCCCAGCATATATTTGTTTCCATAGCAAATAAAGTCTCTCATATGACTGAGAAATGATGATGTGAAAACATTGGTTCTAGTGAAAATCAACCTCAACTTGCACAGTAACAAAGACCATATGTTCATGATACTTGAAGATGAAGACAGTCAGGGAGTCCTAAGCTAGACATATTGGGCAATTCGAAAAGCCACTATGTGTCCCCTCACACTACTCTTACACACCCCTGCAGTCCAAGCATGTCCTCAGCCACAGCCAGGAAACAGAGTGCTGCACAGGATCCAGTCTGAACAGGGCAGGAGGCTTGAGGAAGCATCTCAGCCATCGCCAAAATACTGAATTATCCAGCTCTGTCACAGCTGAGCGCTACAGTATCCCTGTCTAAGTCTGGTCATAAATTCCCAATTGAAACAGTTTCTGAAGGAAAAGGTTTTTGTGAAAATCCACACCTCACTTTCCACTAGGCAAATCTCCCATCTCACAGTGTTTAGACTCTTTTGCTGCATCCTGATAGCATAGCCATAGATTTCACTTTGATTAGGAAGTACAGGAACAGAATGTTTTAAAATGCATTCCTAGAAATCTTATTATTAAATGTATCAATCTTAAAAATGTAAATATTTCTATTTTCTCTCTGATTCAGAACAAGGACAGATCAAAACACGAATAGAAATTAGGGCTTTTGTTCAACACTACAGTCAAATAAACAGGGAATGGCAAAAAACCAGACATGACAAGTATGCTAAGCTAATGAAGTAGATAATCAGGATTTGAATTTACCTATGACAAGAATACAGGATTGATTTCAGAAAGCAACATATGAATGAAGCTTAAAGGAATTCACATTTAAAAAGACTATTAATTCCTAAATGTTACAAGAGATAATTTTTGCAAATCAGAAACCAGAAATTATTAAATATGCAAGACAATTATAAATGGTTATTCAATTTGTCATTTTAATTAGAATACAAAGAAAAAACATTGAGTTCCATCATTGTTGCACCATCACCCTTACACTACATACCCCCACACACTACTTCACACTGATTTTTTTTTTCTTTACTGTTTATTCAGCAGTCTTGTAATTACTTCTACAGGAATCATCCTGTAGTAATATAACTATTAACAATAATTAATATATAAATTTGGCTTCTGTACTATTTTGGAGACTTTAATAAAGTAACAAAAAACCCTTTAACTAATTCTAACAGAGAAACCATAAAACACCCAGGGAAAACTTCTGCACTATCTTACTCCCAGAAAAGTTTGAATCTAGTAATATTAAACCTTCTTAACTCTTAATTTCTTCCTTTCAGACACTCATCTATATTCTAGGATCTATATAAAGGGAGATACTTGTAATAATTACTCATACTAATATACATATCATGTTATAAAGATGTTACAGGAAAGTAAAAGTAGAAGCGGTCCATCATCTTTCTGTCGCTAATTCGGAATTCACATTTATAATTTTTTATAAATGATAAATTATGTATATTATATATAATATATATATATACACACACACACACATTATAAATTATAACCCAAAAATTCAAGAAAACAAGAGCAGGGCTATCTGCCAGGGAGATAAAAATACTGACCAGCAGAGTCAGACCACGGACCACCCATTATAAATACAGAAGTTTTAACATCATAACTGGAGGTGTCAAAAGCCTCTAGTCAATTAGCATAGTCGTCCAAAGGCTAACTTTTAAGCACTGTGTCCACTTTTCTTTTAGCAGAAAAATATGTAAAAATACAGGTAGTAGGAAGTAAAAGCCACAACCAGTAAGTATGTGAAGTTTATAAGAATAGCATATGTTCTTTTCCTGTGCCAACAGAAGACCTCAAACTTCGATATACCCATATGCTGGAGCAATCTGAAAGAACACAAGTTTTACCTTGAGGCAGTAAGAGATGTTTAAATAGCTCTGCAACTTAAAACAGCTTTCTGGATCTTGGAACAAGAAGTTTGGGGGTTTTACTGTATTGAATAATGAGCAAAGATACAACATAGAGAAGAGAGGTATTTTCATTTTTTCACATGATAGCCATGGGGAAGGTTTTTTAAAGAGCATCTTAAACACACAGAAGGAGAGTGAGCTTCCTGTGCAACAATACAGTCCATAAAATGCCAGTCTGGAACTTGGTCTCTGTGTGGCCCTTCAATGGAAAACTAAGACAAAAAATGCTGGGGTTTTTGAGAGATATTTGCTCCCATACACATTTAGTTTGTTAAGTGACTGTATTTTTTGCACTAGGTAGTAGGCAGATGCAGTGTTCGGTGGCCCTGTCCCTAGGAACAGGACTGCAATGCTACACAGTTGTTTTTATATTTGCTACCTTCCTCTACTTCTGAGCTATGAAGCCACTAAAAAATCATAAATTAATGTATAATTTCATGTTGACTTAAAGGTCATGTTTTGGGGCTTGATACTGTTAAGTACAGGAGTAATACCCAATGAGGTAGAACCACAAGCCTACTGAAGCAACCTAGTGAACACTGGCATCACCATGCTACACTGGTTTTCCAACGTCATTAAAGATACTGTTTGCTAAGGCATGTTGGCAACCATGTATGTGCTTTATCCTCAAGTCGCTTTTAATTTCTGCAGCCGATTGTTTTCTCTGAATGAAGGATACAGTTATTGTACCAAGCTGGTCCCATGAAGCAATAATCAATTACAAGAGCTATGTGAATGAACAGGGGAGCTGTCACATCGTACCTACAGTAAAACAAACAGACAAACAAACCAAAAAAAAAAAAAAAGCCTTTCCTCTCAGATTTCCACCAAAATATCAACAGTCACCACTGTACCAAAGTGTCTCTGGAATCTGGAATCTAGGTATACTAAATCCAGGTTTTCTCCCAATTTTATTTTTAGAATATAGGCACCTTCAAAGCACGATATTGAGAAGAAAAAAAAAAAAAAAAAAGGCAAAAAAAAAAGCCCTGCCAATCTAACACCAAACCCTAGCCAGGCTTTAAATGTCTGTTCTGAGAAAAACACTTGGCAACGGTTTATTATTTCTTTGAGTTGGCAATATGACTTTTATGCTGGTAAGAATGATGAAGGCATAAATCAATGTCCTGTAAGAGGGCATAAGAGCAGCAACAGCCATGCCATTTACTCATCTCTTCCATGCCATGTGTTTGCCAGTTTCAT